ATCACAACTCAGGGCTCCTTGCCTTCTCCCTACAGTGCTGTCATTAAACCTGGTTATGCATCTTCCCACCCTTATACATCACTGCCTATGCTGTCAGCATCAGCAGATGTGGTAATACACTTGGGGATTTTTTAACAAGGAATTAGGATATAGAAAAGGGGAGAGGATCTCTTCCATGATAATAATCGGGAATATCACAATGTGGGAAAACAGAACCCTATTTACTGGTACAATGAATCATTTAAAATGGAAAAAAATAAATGAAGAGATAGATAATTTAGCTGGGATTTACTTATTGTCAATCATTATTATGTTTAGCAATTTATATTTTATCCTTTAAAATGGTTTGATAATTTTGCTAAATATGATAATTTGACTGATAAGCCTTAGAAAGACTTACTGTTAACACCACATAAGCCTTAGAAAAGCTTACAATTGATAAGATATAAGCTTTAGAATGATTTACTACAGCTAAGATATAAACTTTAGAAAAACTTAACTAATGAAAATAAAAAAATATGATAAGATACAAGCCTTAGAAGAACTTAGTATTGATTTAGCTTTTAAAAGCTTACTACATACAGTACAAGTCTTAAAAAGACCAATTAATGAAAAATTAAAGAAAATGCTCAGACATAAATAGAAATTTAAAACAGAATCTACCGTATAATTGTATTATGAAACTAAAGAGGAGCAGTCTAAGGTTAATAGAATTTACTTTATTACCTTAATTTACCCACTTATCATACAAGAAGAGGCACCATGATAGACATCCCCAGGGATATGAAAAGTTATTTGGAATACTATAGAAATGTTGTCTTAGAAGAGACCTAAGGAAACAATCATTTCATATGATATGCATTTACCCATGAATTTAACATCTGCTTTACAGGTTAAATTCTATTAACCTTAGGTTGCTCCTCTTCATGCCCCAGTGTCAAATTTGGTTCAACCTTTAGTTGTCAGCATCAAAAAAATTCCTCCACAGAGCAATTAAATGACCTAATGACTATTGTTAAAAACCATGCTGCTAATAATGACAAAACAGCTTCAGTAAGGAAAACAAAATTTTCAGGGGAAAATATAAAAACAAGTATTTTGGCAAACTTCTATAAAAGATAAGATTAAAGCTTAAAATATAAATAAATAACATTGAAACTGAGGGTCTAGTAGACACGGGAAGATGTAACAATAATATTACAGAAATTTTGGCATTCAATTAGATACTTAGATTAAACACTTAGATTAGATTAGCTACTTCAGGAGGCAAATATTTAGTTTCTAGGGATTGGAACTTTACCATGGCAGGGGGAGATATGTGCAACTTGGATCAAATACATAGGGCCAGAAAGATAGATAGGGAAATTAAAACCATGTGTGTCTAACATAGCAATGAATTTATGAGAACATTATTTATTACAGCAGTAGAAAACACAGATTAATGTTCCTCCAATTTCAAAAACTGTAAAATAAAAATGCTTCTGAGAGAAATATTAAAAAATAATATTAGGGGCATCCACAAACTGTTCAAGTTGTACATGAGCAGGGGACAACAACTGATCATCTTTCAAAGGTATCAACAGTCCTACCTTTAAATTAGTTAACTGACAAACTGATCTAGGTAGAACAATGGCCTCAGATATTAGAAAAAGCACAAATATTTGAACAGCTGGTACACAGGCAGCTAAATGCACATCATATTGAAGAATCAACCAGTCCTTGAAATTCTATGTTTGTCATTAAAAAGAAATCTGGAGAGTGTTAGCAGATTTGAGAGCAATAAACAAAATAATTCAGCTGACATGCTCTCTATAGCCTGGAATCCTGCCTTTTCTATTACCTACATGTGGTCTACTATAGTGACTGATTGAAAAGACTATTTTTTAAAATCTATACCTTTACATGAAAAAGATAGAGAAAAATTTGCCTTCACAATGCCTGATTATGATTATTCCAAGCCTGTTAAAAGTATCAGTAGAGAGTTCTTCAACAAGGTAGTTTAAAAGAGCTCCAACTTTTGTCAATATTTTATACACAGCCATGGTAAATTATTTATAAACAACTTCCTCAATCTATAATTTACCATTATATGAATATTTCACTGTTTCAAATGCAAATACCTAAGAAAAAGTTTGAAGCAAAGAAAAAATTGCCTTGTTTGGGGATTATCAATTCTTCCTGAAAAAAAAAACAAGAAAATATTCTACTAATTAACCAAAAGTAGCACAAATTCTAATAGGTTTCAATAATAAAAGCCTGGAGTAAAATATCAGGAAAATAATGAACTATCTGAGATAAAGTATTAAAACCACAGCCACTTTACTTCTCCTATTCCCATCTGAAAAGCAACTGAGTTCCTGTTTCCTCCTGGCTTATCACTTTGTTTTTCCACCCAGTCATATCACTTCCTGTCTCTATATACAGACATACACACCATCATGATTAGCTCGTGGCTAGTTCTGCCATCTGATCTTCAGGCAAGCTGTAGTTGTACAAACAAGATATCACCACATTTACTCTTTGTATAAAAATTAAAAAGGAAGTTTATAGCTTATATAAGAAAAACTATATACAGTAAGTACAATAGCTATATTTAATATATACAGTCAATGAATACATCAACAATGTCTAGCCCAATAGAAATTGACAAATTCAGAGAAAATATTTCATATCTGTCCTATCTTTGTGAGTCAAAAAGTTGTACCTAATTTACTTTCTATTATAACTTGCATTACCAAAGTAATATTTTTATTTCTTTCAACCTTATACAATTTTCAATTGTTTAGTGAATTTTTTTTCTAAATCTGGTAACAATGAAAACTATAACTTTAATTATCTTCTATTCAATTCCAGCAGAGACCCAAGAAGCAAATAGTAAACAGGAAGTGTAAACAAGTACCTTCCAAAAAAATGTGAGAAATGACAGAAGCAATTGGCTGCCTGGGCAGAGGAACCCTGTCTGCAACGTTGGGGCATCTATCATTCTTTGGTCTATAGGCCTTGCATTTCTGACAAACTTTTCTGTGAAACAGAAAATTCTGAAGGGCTGTTCTACATTGTCTTGGCAAAACTTGTCACTCTTTTCTTTTGTGCCCTGCTTGTCCAATTTGTACAAAATATTATCAGTAGTCAGGCAAGGACACTTTCCTGCCCAGGGGCTATCATTTGCCACAAAGAAAGTAAACTCCATTTGGAATTTCTGTAATGCTTATCAACTACTCTGAAGTAGATTTGTGCTACGATGAGCAGACATGTATCATTGAAGAACCCATTTTATTAAAACATCTTAATGCTATAATCTGTAGATCTGAAGTGCTTGAAGGTGACCTGTCTATCTAAAATATATCTTTGTTTGATCTTGAAAACATACCTTTTATGACTACAAATTCAGTTGTAATAGGTGACTATTTGCTAGCCTGCATTTCTTTATTATCCTAAATAGTTGGTAATAATAACTTTCAAAGACTAGAAATTTGCATTACATTGTTAAATGACTTGCATACTGACAATACATTGAACAAGGTTAGAAATGTGTGTACAGGATGTTCTAATAAAAATAAGCTCAAGGTTGTGTGAATATACAAAAAATCCAATCCAATCTAAAATATTTAAAATTAGTAATCACCCTTTTTTGGTTTAAAAGTAGATTCAATTATTTATCTTTTTTTTTTTTTGATTTTTCGAGACAGGGTTTCTCCGTAGCTTTTGGTTCCTGTCCTGGAACTAGGATCCTTTTTCTATACCCTATTCATTTTAGAATAAATTCAATAATCTACTTTTTATATCTTATCTTATATATACATATATAAATATATATACACATATATAACCACCATTTTAACAATAAGAACTCTAAATCTAATCTCTTTTGTTCAAATTTCTTCACTCCAACAAATAACAACTTGTAACTAATTGTAAACAATGACAAATATTCATAAACATTTAATGACCAAAACCACCCACCCCATCTCTTGGCAATGTGGGCATCATATTTTTAAATTTACTTCCTGCCCTCTTGGGGTAATGCCATATTTAAAGGATCTCAAAAAGAGAAATATGGCTTAATTTTCGAGTCCTGGGAGAGGTAGCTTTACCATTTGTTATCCAGTTCGGTCTCTGCATGATGGAAGAATGCAGGGCTCGTCTCAAATCTAACTAGAGTACTCTGTAAGGCTGGATCATCTCATATAGCCAACTCAAAATTATCCTGAGCAATTTGCAGTCAAAATCTGATATTTAGGTGGTACTTATAAGCTTAGTGCTATTATCATAGTCCTGGTGGAATTGTCATTGTGGGGCCACATCCTCTTTTTGAGACTTCAAATGTCACTGTTAGGTTTAGTCTTGATTCACTGAAAGAAAAAAAAAAACATTTTAAATGTCGTGTGCAATAGATCTCAAAAAGGTCAAAGAAAAACTTTAAAGACTCAAAATAGAAGCAAACAATTATAAGATTATTGGCAATAAAACAGTCCTTTTTTTTATTTTCTGTCCCATATCAGGTAGTTCTTCTGACATGAGACAGAGATTGTGGATTTTACTTTAACAAGCATGTTTGAATTTAGAGGAGAGAGCCACACTCCAACTCCAAAGCCAACTTTAGTCTTTAATTGGACTGCAACTACAGAAAGACTATTTGCATTATACATATGTAGAGAATAGCAGAAACAAACATTTGGTAAGATTTATGAAATTTTATCCAGTTGGAAATAAGATAAAACACTTTCATCCCAAAACTTCCATTCCAAAACTGAAACAGTGAACTTTTACTAGATCCAAAATATAACAGTTGTAATTATTCTGTATCTAAATTTAGTGTCAATTAGTATATTAATGTGTATGTGTACATTTTGCATTTTCCTGCTAGGGTGTAGTCTGAAGTTCCCCCCAACCAAATTTGTTGTTCCTATGCCATCAACCCCTCCACTCACCACAAGCTTGATGAGTTATTCTGAGTCCCACTTTGCTGCATACTTAAGAGTTGTTCACTGTTCTCCATCATGTCGCAAGGTCAAGGTGAAAAGGAGAACCCCATGTGGGAACTTTGCATCCACAAGCTCTGCCTCAATATCTGTGTTGGGGAGAGTGGGGACAGACTGATCCGGGCAGCCAAGGTGTTGGAGCAGCTCACAGGCCAGACACCTGTCTTTTCCAAAGCTAGGTACACCATCAGGTCCTTTGGCATCAGGAGAAATGAAAAGATTGATGTTCACTGTACTGTCCATGGAGCCAAGGCAGAAGAAATTCTGGAGAAAGGCCTGAAGGTACGGGAGTATGAGTTATGGAAAAATAACTTCTCAGATACTGGGAACTTTGGCTTTTGGATTCAAAAACACATTGACTTGGGCATCAAATATGATTCAAGCATTGAGATCTATGTCCTGGATTTCTATGTGGTGCTTGGCAGGCCAGGTTTCAGCATCGCAAACAAGAAGCGCGGAACATACTAATTGGGGCCAAACACAGAATCACTTTTGTATTACTTGTTTCATATAATTTTGAAGCTAACATGGGCTTTGTTCATACTTTTGATTATATGACCATAATATTCCTGATTTGAGTAACTGTTACTATTTTAGAATGTAACAAATGTTTAAAAAACAAGTACATACCTTTCATGCTTATCAGAAGCAATTACGTTTGCCCCCCGGTTTATCAATAACACTGCTGTTCAAATCTTCTCTTTTTGGAAGGTGAGCATGAGGGAGGAAATTCCATCCTGTAATGATATTAAATGATAGTTCACAATGCTGCATATTCCACAGTCAAACAGAAAGCCACATAGCTAGTCCTGTGAACATGATATTTCCCATAGACTAGAGAGCAGAAGAAATGTTCTTCTCAGTTGTTCTCACTCTGATGTTGACAGTGAAATGCTTTGATCCTGCCTACGGTTGTCACAAGACCTCGAGTCCTCTTCAGAACTCGTGGGAAACACTTTGTGATAGCATAATGGAGCCATTTCAGTGTTTGTTCGCATTTAAGCAGAAACCCCTTTCTTAAAGTTGTATTAAACTGAAATAGAATGAAAGCACTCCCCACTCCCTTTCTTCCTCTAGACGCTCCCACCACTCACCACAGTGACTCCCCCTTGGACCCTTTCTGGATCCTTCAAGCTGATATCCTCTTTATCTTTGATCATTTTGTTGTATACATCTATATGAACGTGTATGCACATATGTACAGACACACAGAACCGACTGTGTCCATTTTTTTTGTCTGTATATAGCTTTTAGGATGACTACAACTAATAAGGGGGTTCACCTGTGGGAGAAGCAAATTCTCATTCTCCCAGCAATCAGCACTTGCCTGTAAATTCATTGTCTAGGGAAAGCTTTCTCCTTTTACAGTAACATGTCAACAGATATTACTGTAATTCTAGTCTTTTTATTCAGCCGTTCTAGAACAGACTATTTTACAGAAGACTTACTGGTTATCCTGGTTATTATAATCTTTTCCTGCCCTCTTCCTCAGTGTTCTCTGAGAAACAGAATGAAAAGCTATGATGCAGATGTATAAGATGTATACACTTCCTGAGAGCTCATCTCATAGGAATCAACCCCAAACAAGGATACCACAGGTGTTCAGTATCTTGTTCAATGGATATGCTCAATTTTCTTCTCTGGGTCAGAATTTATATCTGCATTCCAAACGATATTTATTTGCCACCCCTCTGGATGGATTTTGCACAACAGCTTAACGTGGTAGAAATTTAAATTATTAATAATACAGTGTCATAAACATTTCAAGTAAACAACAATCAATTATATACTTTGCAAAGATTTCCAAGGCTATTTATATACTTCAGAGAACCTATAATGCTTTTTGTTTGCTTTTATTTAAATTGTGACAGGATCTGCTTTGTTAAGAAAGCAACCTTAATTTGTGCTCTTCATATGGTATGGTGCTCTTTGTTTCACATTTTAGCTCACCTCAAATTGTTATTGACAACTCATAATGTATAACAACGACCACTAACACATAAAACCTATTTTTAGTACACAAGGTAGAATATCATCACACAAACCATGATGCCTTTCACTAAGTGAGATGTGACTTATATGCCTGGCATTCCTAGTCTTTCAAGATGGATTTTAATAAATGCTAACTCTAAATGTACTATAGATAATAGCTGTGAAACTATCAGCGACAAAATGTGAATGCATGGCAAGCTTTACTTTGCTTTTTACAAAACTTTAAGCCAAAAGAAACTTGGGTTCAAATAAGTAAGTGTGCCTTATTCTTGATAATAGCTAAATTCATGGGATATATAGAAATCAGATATTTGCTATGCTTAATGTCAGTATCTAGAAGCAGTTTCAAAAGAGAGATTTAGGACACTTTGGGCCACCTTGAGATGGGCTTGAATTGGAAAAGCAAGATGAGCTTGCTGCTTCATAAGTTATGAAACTTCTAGTAAGCTTTTAGAATATCTCTATTCTTTTGTGGTGGTCCCTGATTGTGGGGAGAGAGTATAATAGAGATATCTCATTTGTGGCTGAGCATTCCACTGTCATTTAATTCCTGTATTTTGAACAATTGTGAGTTTCTCTGTTAACCATGCTATACTGCACAAAAACCTGATGAGACTGGAGATCTGAACTATTATATGAGAGTAAACATAAAAATTTGGTGGCAGTTTGGTACTATTTATAACAGTAGTAGGTTCACCCATAGGGACAGGGAACTCTACAACTCTTGGACCATGGCCAGATTTACAGTACTTTTTTTAGTTCAATTAATTTTTAATATTAAATAGTAAAAAAAATATTATACACATGAATATACAAATATTTTGTAAAAAAAACATGGAGGCTCCTTGGGAAGTAAAGGGATAGCCAACGTGAGATCCAGCAATCACACTCCTGGGTACAGATCTAAGGGACACAGAATGAGCATCTCAGAAGTTGGTTCATGTGCCCACAGCTGTGGCATTCACAGTAACCAAGGAATGGGAATCACCAAGTGTCTGTCTGCTGGTGAATAGGAAAGATATGGAATAGCAACACACCTGAGAAATTCCTCAGCCATTTCAACCTCCAGTTACAAAATGAGACACAGTGCTGGCTTTCAGCAAATATGGAACATGGTCTCTTCATGAAGACCAGTAATTTATAACTTAAATTCTGCTTTCTAGTAATAACCCTCTTGTTCTTGTTCATCACAGTGATAACTATGCTGCATCATGTGTCAGTTCTAATGCAGATGTGCAGGGTCAAATCTGGGTTCTTTATAGACTAGAAATGGTAGTGGAAGATCTGAATCCCCACCAAAATCCATAGTGCAACAAGGCTCACACTATTTCTACTGTCAAAGACATAAAGAAACAGGTCATGAGAGAGAATAGGCTAATGGAAAATACACAAATGTCACTAGTGGGTCATTTAACCCAAATCACACTTAGGTGTGAGTTTCAACACACAACTTGCACAACAGCATACCTATTAATATTACTATGGCTGCCTTGAGAATTTACTTCCCTTGAAGTTCTCTTTCCAAGATTTGAATCAGGTTTGGCTAGAATTTCTCCTTTCACCTACAAGGGAGGGTGATACTTTGAGTAGAGGGAACAATCTCTCACAGTAATGAATGTCACAGGTCACTCTGTGCCCAAATATCCCCACATAGAACCCGTGTTCTATCTCGGATGTCCAGCTTCGTGCACAATAGTCTGTGCAGGAGAGAACAATATGACAAAACTTAGGACCCAGAAATGGTCACTCCTTCACCTGCTGCAACAGCCTGTCCTTCCATCAGGCGCTCTGACTTCCCACTCTCTCCAGATGACACCCAGAACTCCTCATGATCATGAGCCATGATGCCCTTTGGGATTCCCAGAATGCAGTGAGGTGAGCCTTCTGTGATGTCACAGGGAAATCCCTGCCCTAGAAACAGCAGTGTTCTTTGCCTGAGGACTACACAGTGTCCACCAAGGAGGGTTGGGATTCAAAGACAGCCCATGTGTCTGGGTAAGTTTGGGCTGTTTTGTGGGAGGGACAATACCTGAAATTCAGTACATGAGTGACTCACTCAGTGTGAGGCACTTTTTCATCAGAACCTTTAATATGGAGACTAAACAGAGCGAGGGACCGGAAATGTTTCTGCCTGAGGACAGTTCATTCTATGCAGGACAAGAAAGAGTAAGGATGAGAAGTCTCATAGCAGTGGTCCTAGCCCCTAAAGACCACAGGGAAAGAAACCCTCATCTCACCAGAGAGAGGGGCCTTGTAAAGAAGCTGCACATGCGTCTCTGAACCAGGACTCCCAGAGTAAAGGAGAAATGTGGGACTGGGCCTACTCTTTACCCTGAAGAGGCCTGAAACCAAAAAGAAGTTAAATAAGCCAGGGCATATTGCTAAACATGAAGAGTCCCAGTCCTAAAATAATAGAGATGTGGGCTTGAATGAATCCCTAATACTCAAGAGGCTTAGGCCCAAATAAAAGGAGAGGTGTGGGCCTGGGCCCATCCATAACACTGAAGACTCCTGGACCCAAAAGAGCTGTGGATCTCTGTCTATACCTTATGCTGCAGAGTCCAGGGCCTAAAGCAAGATGAGATGGGGGTGAGGGCCTATCTATGAATGCAAAGAGGCTCAGGCCCAAAGAAAAAGAGATGTGTGCCTGGAGATATACCTGACCCTCAACAATTATGGGCCCAGAGTATAAAGAAATACAAAATGAATAAAGGCCAGGAGAACCAAACAAAAAGGATTGTGCCTATGGTATATCACAACCAGAAGTACCCCAGGCCTAGATCAAACAGAGCCCTGGAACAATTGGCACATAATCATTCTCTTTCAATAAGCCCTGGACATAAAGAAGAGTGCCAAGGCCAAAACTAAAGAGAATCCACATTGTGTTTAGACCATGTACCATGAGCCATACTGGTCCTAGGTCTGATTTTTAGCTATTTTACAACCAGCTAAGACATCAATGCAGACACATCCCTGCTTGTTCATCCATAATCTTGGCCTCAACTATACTATCTTTCTGAGCACTCATATAAGCTGACATGCTCAAAAAATAGGTGTGTGGGTCACATACATATATTTTATTCAATGCTGACCACATTCTCAACACATATCAGCAAGTATGAACCATTGCCATAATGTGCCAGGGGCTCACTGAAATGATATGTCAATATAGGTATAGCATACAAAAGAGTATCATACTATGTCCTCTATCTGTCTGAGACATAATCTTAAGATCTTAAACTGATTTCTTTAGGAATGAACAGTTCTCAAATGTAACTCATGCCAAAGCCTGCTTTTTAAAAATTGTTGACTAATACAAATTTGGTCTTGTTCTGAGTAACTGACTCCTGGTCACATTATATCTTTCAAGATTCAGAACTTGGTGGTGATGTAATTACTAACCTAGGAGCATGGCCATGAACTGCTCTCAAAAGAAATAAAACTGTTCCTGAACTGCAAGTCCTCTGGGCTATCAT